AAGAGAAAAGGCATTCTTTGATATTTTCAGTGCAAAATATGTCTGATTTGACGTACTTGAACTTCTGAAGCATGATTCAGAAAGCGTCTCTCAACTTCAATAGAAGCAAAAGTCAAAAAGAATATGTTTCTTCTCACTCTGGCTTTCATGCTGATGTCATGAGGAAACCTGTGAAAAGGGCTTGGGTGGCTTCAAGACAGTTACATTGTGACAAATAAGAGGGTAAACTTTTAATGAGAAGTCCATTAAATTCCAAGACTGTCAAATGAGAACCTGCCCTTTAAGCGTTGGCAAGGGGTCTCTGCCTGTTGTAGCTGCACCATACATCTCCATCAGACCTGTCATGCTGCCAGTACAGTCGCCAGAAGAGATGGTCCAGTCCCAGGCAGAACCCTGTGAACTCGGGCTGGGCAGGCTTCTTTGGAGGCTCCTGGCTCCAGTCCCCTCTCCCCGTCCATGATGTGCCCAGAAGCCACCCCACATTTTCAGGCCAGCGGTGCTCAGCACCTGTCTCCTCCCTACAACTAAACTTGGTTGGAAACAAAACCCCTTGCATTAGACACAGGTTCAGGTGGATGCCATTTGGAGGTTATGCTGCGGAGGTGAGGCATCCCAACCTAGACGCTAATGAAGAAGCAAAGGCTCTGCTCAGATTCGTGGGACGTCAGACCTTGACCATCAGTTTGGGCAGGAAGCTGAGATGCTGGAGTGTTGGCCCAGCCTCAGAAGCCAGGGCCCTTTACGGGACCCCAGGCCCAGCCCCGCCCTCTCACAGGGTCTGCCCACCTGTGGCCTGGGTCCTGGTTTTAGTAGGAGCAGGAGATGACCAGGCAAGTCACTGCCATGTCAGCAGGACAGGGCATGGGAGCTGGGGGTGGGGGTGGGAATGGTGACATCTGAGAATTTTCAAGTGACAGGATGGGGAAAGGGTACGCAGAGACTCACAAAACATCTTGTTTTAGAGACAGAGAGAGTTAAGCTTCAAGAGTGTGTGTGTGTGTGTGTGTGTGTGTGTGTGTGTGTGTGTGTGTGTGTCTGGTGTGTGTGAGTGGTGAGTGTCTGTGTGTGTTGGTGGGGGAGAAGGAACTTGAATTTCCTAAGTGCTGTCCCTTTCAGAGCTGAGCGGACGAACCATGTTCTGGGCTCGTGAGTGGGTAATGGGACACACTGGTTTGAGTGTAGCCTCTGAGGTCACACAGAAATGGCATTGAAATCTGTCTCTGCCCTTCACCAGCTGTGACCCGGGGCAAGTTGTGAAGATGTAATGAACCGACCGACCCACAGAAGGCAGCTGTGCAGAGCTCCGTGTGCAGTATTATTATTTTGTATTTGGCCTAGGGTGTGTTAGTCAAGTGTTTTTGGTTAAAATGACTAGTTTCTGTATAAACGGACCTTTGGCTTAAATGGGGTGTCTAAGGAGAGAAACTAGTTTCAAGCATGTTGGCTCCAAAGGCTACACGTCGTCAGGCCTCAGGTGCTTTTCCCCCTCTGCCCCTTCTCCTGTAGGCTCTGGGTCTAGGGTGGGCCTCCTTACCAGGCACGTGTTCTCTATGCAGTGGTCAAGCTATCCCTTGGCATGTCCAGGTAGACCTAGTCTGTAGTGATCCAAGCTTTCAAAGTTTTGCTTTTATCACATAGTTTAAAGAATCAAAGAACTCTACAGGCATCTTTATGAAAATAGCAGTTTCTCTCTCCTGTTCAATTTCCCCTCCCAGAGTCGTCACTTTCAACATTTTTAGCTGATTATCTTTCTATTTATCTCTAAATAGCAAGACACATTTTGATTTTTTGTTTTTCAAAATTATATCTGAATTCGCTCTGTGTGAGTTAGGCACACCCTCCCCCACACCTAGTCCTCGGTACAGTTAAATTACCCTTTGATAAGATCATGAGTCAATAATTACATTATTATAACTGCAAATGATACTCCTGAGTTAAGTAGTTGTTTGGTTTACTTAACTTTGTTTTCATTAAAGTAAATGTGTGTCTCTTGTTCTTTACTTTTGTTTATTTTCCTATGGATTTGGCACTATTTCGATGCCAAATTCTCCAGCTGCCTAGCTCTCTCAAGGCATTCAGATAGTTTCCGAGCCTTCTAACCACACTGCCCTGGGCTCGTTGCCATTCAGGCCTGTGTGCAGGTTTCACAGGGGATCTCTCGTTCTGTCATGCTGGAAAGTTCCTCCTTGGCCTCCTCTGCTGATCTCCTGTCCTGTGTGTCTCGCGGTTTCCTCTTACAAGTTCTTATACTTCTTTTGGTGGAGCACATCCTGAAGTGCTTTCTGAGAAAAGGTGTGTGGGGAGTACAATTTTGAGATCTTACATATCTAAAAATGTTTATTGTAGTCTTTCACTGAATGGTAGTTTGCTTGGAGATAAATTCTGTAAGGTTGGATATCATATTTTTTTTCTCCAGAATTTTGAAGACATTGTTCCATTGTCTTCTAAGCTGCCAGTGTTACTTTTGAGAAATCTGAAGTATTTATGAATTTTGAGTCTTTGTAGGTAAACTGGAGAATGACAGGATATAATTTACTGATATTTTATGATGATGTATCTTGGTACAGGTAAAATTTATCCATAATGCTAGTCACTTGGTGAGTCCTTTCCTTCTGGAAAGCCGTAACCTTCTGTTATGGGAAATGTTCTTCAGTTTTGTTGTATTGCTGATTTCCTCCCCACTCCTTTTTTCAATTTTAATTTCTAGAATTCCTGTTATATGTTGTATCTGCTGAATGGGTACTGTTATTTATCTAAATTGTTCTCACTTTTTTTTTCTCGAATGGCTGGGAGGTTTATTTAACCCTATCTTTTAATTGTTCTGAGTTTTTTATACTTTTAATTTTCATGAGCTCTTTTTGTCTTCTAAATGTTTCCCCTTATAAATCTTTCTTTACTTATTTATAGATACAATATTTCCTTTCTTGGAGAATATTATGTATTTTTTTAAAAAATTTCTCTTGCATTTTCTCTTGTTTCCTTTAAATTTCTCTCTTTCCTTTTTGTTTCTATACTTCACGATAAAATATTATTGCTGTAGACTTCTCTTTCATTTCCTTTAATCTTTTTGGGTTCTGCCTTTATAAATATCTCTCACTTATTTTCATTGCATCTCTGAGTTGTCTGTTTATATTTAAGAGTGAGGTACTAAAAAGCCCATAAAGTTTTTTGTGTGATTGGATATTGTCAGCTCTGGGCTTTAGTGAATTGCACTTGGCTGGGCTGTCTTTAGTAGGAGGCTATAATGTCTGTATCTCTAGGTTTTTTATCTTGAGCTGAGCAGATTCCCCAGAGAACGAGAACGGTCTTTCATTCATTTGCCTTGAGGGTAAAGACATGTCTCACAGTGTGCTGGGAGTCCTATCAAAGAAGGTTCCATGGGTCTCTGCATTGAGTATAATACTTGTTCAGCTTCTGCTTTCAGAAGAGAATCCCTAATGCCTGATTCCGTTAGTCAGGGGACCCTCTGCTTCACCCTCTCCTTAGAACACACCTATGGTCTTCTGCCAAAGCCACAGTGTGGACATGGGAAGTGGGGAGGCACGCGGGGCTGAACTCATCCTCAAGCCTCCCATCCATCTTCTGTTTCTTAGGATCACCTGTATTGCATCAAAAAAACACTGATTCGATGAATACTTGAGTCTGTTGAGGGTCTGTTACTAAATTACCATTTTAATGGGACCGTTCTCAGATCTACTTAGTCAATTGCTCATCAATAAAACACTGATGCTGTCATCTTCTCTCCCGTTTTTTTGTTCTTATGTTTATCTTAGTTGGGTTTAAGGAGAAACCAAAGGTCCATGTGTGTGTCCAGTTCCTTGGTGCTCTTAAAGCTCTTTATCCACCAACCATCGTATCATGTCCCCAAAAGGACTATGATCAAAGGGGTCTGATCACAGGCCCCAGCTCCCAGCTTGGTACCAATTCTTGTGATCTGGGTTCTCCTGAGAGCCCGGGGCACCTGCTTTTCCTTGTGGTGGGAGAGCCGTGACTGAATGATTGACAGCTGCAGGGCAATCATCCCAAGTGGCAGTTCCTAAGGAAAGGAAGGGAGCTCTGACAAAGGCAGCAAACGTCCCAGACACAGGGCAGCTTTGGCCTCCACTGGGGCAGCTTTGGCCTCCACTGGGGCTGATTTGAGGAGGCAAGGATCTTCCTCGGTTACTTTGTATTCAGAAAATATTGGGGCCATCTCAGAAACACTGGATATTCAAGCAGAAAGCACCTCCCTGAGGTTTTCCTCCATTGTAAGCGTCAGAAGCATCGGTTCACACTTAGCGCCCCTGTCAATGTATTAATGTGAACGCCCATTGAAGGGGAAGGACAGCAGAGGCTTCCTGGAGAACTCCCATGCCCTGGAGAGAAAATGGGGCCATGGTGCAGGCGTCCCAGGAACTCTGGGCTGGGACTTTGGGGACACACATGCAAAGGGGTCGAGATAGCGCACTTCCTTTGTTTAATGGTCTAGTGACAAAGGGTTTGACATTTGTTTCCCTGCTTTAACCTCAGAAGTTCTAAGAAGGAAATGTATTGTAGAAAACTTAAATAATCTAGCTGCACGCATTGTTTGGATAGATCCCCTTTTATTTTTGTAAGGATTCCTTTTGTAGTTATCTCTGAAACAAGGTGCTTGGGACATTCACAGAAATAATGCCCTCCTTAAGTGTTTAAACAAGCAAAACAAACTTTTGGTTCCTTTTCAGACCTCTGGCCATCAATGGTACAATGATGCAATTTAGAAGACTGTTTTTGGAAGACATTTTTAATGGCAAACTTTAAATGAAGTCAATCGTTGGTAGTTTAATGACAATCCCTGTGTGTTAGCGTCCTTTTCCCAACTTAACAAGAACAAAAGGTTGTGGCCAGACCAATTAGTCACATATGACGAGACGTGATGACATTTTTACTCATGAACTTTTCTGGTATAAAAGGGTCACCCAAGAGGATCAGACAGCGAGTGTGAGAAATTTGCCAATAAAACCACAGACCTGCAGAGATTTTGGAAAGTCCAAAATGATTAGGTAAAAGATTACATTTTTCAAAAACAAAGAAAAACGTTGAATTTGTGTATGCTTTTTTTAAAAGTTAAATTGCCTGTATAATACTAATCTGAGGTGCTTTTTTTCCTACTCTGCAGCTCATTAAAACTCAATCTTATTCTAGTTCTGTCAGTTTCTACCATGCATGTGTTTTGCTGTTATCCAGCTCCGTCTTCTAAGGTAAGAGTTTTGCCTCTATTTTTGATACTTGACTAGATAGCTAGAATCGTAGAGTATGTAAATTCAAAATAATCTCAATGAGGATGTGATAGAAAAGTAATTTTCTTTATTATTAGGCCTTTCAATGAAAAAAAAGTACAAGTAGAGTCACGATATTAGTAAAAAGAACCATTTATGTGACAATAGGTAATATAGGAATATCATACAATTTGTTTTGAATTATTTGAGTTGGCCACTGCATAGGAAAATATTTCAATATAAAATGTAAACTCTTTTGCCCATGACAATTTATTCATTCCACATGAATCCACACTTAATCAAAGTGAATATGTATGTAATCATTGAAAGTATATTAAAACTACAATGGAGCATTTGCCAAAAACAGGTATTTCCTAATTTTACTACAACGATAACTTTTTCAGATGCAGAATGTAGATAAAATTTCATATCTCAATAAAATATCACATAAAATGTTAATTTATATATTTATTCAAGAATATTGATTGAGCTCCTAACTATGTTCATTGAACTGTTCAAGACATCCAGAAAAATGAATGTCTTTCTTTGGATTTTTAAATACTATTTCTATATGATATTCAGTCGTTTATGTCAATGCTTTGTTTACAATTTTAAAATATTTTTTGTCACTTCGTGTTTGGTGCTTTCACTTTGCTTCACTAAAATTTAACCTGGCGCACAGTAATTACTGAAATCAGTATAATTTATGAGACTATGTTTAGGATAACAAGATGCTACATAAATCCTAAATAATAAATATGTGTCCAAACATAATGATCTAGCTATTTATTTTATAGGTGTTCTCACTAATCTTTGCGTCCGTCATTTTTCTATTTCATGTTTACTTAATCTAACATCTTTTCCCCCCTGTTTTACTCCTATGAGCATTCAACACTAATTTAGTCATTGATTCCATAAGACACCACATTGATCAAGTTGATGAGTCACAATCCATAAATTGGTGTATTTTGTCAAATGTCTTCCTAATGCCTTTCCACCCTTTCCCTGGAGAGTCATGCATGACATTTCTGTGGAACAAGAGGCATTGTGTGCAGGCGTTTTTTCTTAGTTAAGAATGTACTTTCTTCTAATTACTTGTGAGATCTTCTTGTCCGTAAATGAAATGTTTTTTCCTTCACTGCATTTTCCATATTTCTATTTTTGCATGTGACAGTTCTGTTCTTGTCATAACCCCATCAATTTGACTGTTTAGGGTGAGTGATTATGCAGACAAAGGAGGTACAGCTTTTGTAATACTTGTGAACTTTAGAAAGTCCGTCAACCATGCAAGTTAAGTATACAGTATGATTCTGTTAACGCGTCGCTCTGCTAAGGGCTCCTCCAATGATTAGCAGAGGGCATCAGTCTCCTTTCAGAGATGTGTTCAGAATCTCATAATCAGAACTGATGCATTTCTTTCACAACATAAAGGTGGCTTCATGAGTATTTCTGGAAAGAGCTGGAATTCTTCCCTTTCTGAAATGACTCATAGGCCCCTCCTTGCTGGGGATTTAAAAGCGATGGCATTATTTCATGTTAGATTTCCTCTCTTAGCACAGGAAAAACACATAGTAGGTGTTCACATAAGCGTTTTTGATTGGTTTTCCCATGATCGACATTTCTGACACTCTTTTGACTATTCCCAAATTCCCATCACTCTGAAAAAGCCCCCCCCTTTTTTTCCCAGAGGCCAGTGGAAACGATTTTCCCGGGAGCTCTGACTGCTGGAACCTTCATAAGCCACTTAGTCATGGGTGAAGAACGTCAGGGATTATTTTGTGCACTCTGGCCCCATTTCAACTTCCAAAGTCACCCGGAACCCAACTTGCTTTCCTGCACCAGGAAAGGAAAATGTGTAATTTTTACTTCGTAGTATGTTTCTTGAGGTATAATGGAAGTGTTCAGCCCCCTTTTTTTCTTGTAGCTCTCATACAGTTGAAAAACACGGGCGTGGAGTCAAACGCCTCAACTCCAATTCCTCTTCACCTACAAGCCATTTAATTCTTCATTCAAAGGAAATTATAACTGAGGAAGTAATGGTACCTACTTCATAGAGCTTTTTGAAGGGATGAAATGAGATGATGCATGTGGAGCATGGAGTGTAAAGATCACCGATACCTCTGCTCCCATCATCGATCAGATTTGTAGTTGTGCTTCCTCTGAACCAGGAAGGAGAGGGCATGTGACAAGTGTTGAAAATTCTTACCCAATTTCTGGGTCAGGTCCACCTTGTGGACGCGCCAGCCCTGTTTCTTAGGACTTGTGCTTTTGCTCTTGACCTTGGTTTCTTCACCTACAAAGCATGGAATTGAGCTGTAGCTTCTCGATCGGGCCAACAGGAGCTCTAAGATTCCAGACTTCTTTGTTTCATGACTAAGCACCCCTTCACGCTCCTCCATCATCCAGGATGTCAAGCCACTGATGAAGAACGGAACCAAAGTCCAAAGACAAAGACCCCAACATTTAAGTAGCAAGACAGCCTGTGGAGGATGTCGGCAATGGCCCAGGACAGGCCCCAGAAGGAAAGTGCTTCCAACTGAAACCTACAGTTTGGTTGTCACGGGCTGTTTTTCTTAGTGAAATTTAAAAACTGTTCCCAGGACTAATTAGTGCCACTTGAAAGAGTCTTTGTAAAGTGATAGCAACAAGATAACTATATGCTGTGTATGAAGCAAATACTAAACAGCAGCAATTACATAAGTAGTGTAAAAATTAGACCAGAGGACAGATAGCTCCAAATACTATTTTGTATTTAGGTAAAGTGTGTATTATGTTTTAGCAAAATGTCCCCCCTTAAAAAGATTGGATATCTTAGATTTATTGCCATACGATTTTGAAAATTGTTACTGTTGAAATAAACTTTTAACCCTAAAGCTGTATTCTCTCTCTCTCCCACCCCCATCTGAATCACCAGGTGTCTGGAAGACCTGATTACTTTTTTATCCTGCTGAACAGCTGCCCAACCAGGGTGGACAGGAACGAAGGACTAGATTTTCTAAAGCCAGTTTTGGAGAAGTCGTTATTGAAAAGGTCCTTTCGCAATGGAGTCGGAACAGGGATGAAAAAAACTTCCTTTCAAAGAGCAAAATCATGAATAAGATGAATAAGTGTGCAAAGGACTCCGGGAATTAATCTAAAAGTTAGTAAAATGTGACTAATGTGCTAAAATCAGTCATATCTTTATCATTACGTATTGGTCTGCTTTCATGCTTAAAACATCTTGTCTGTCCTAGCCAGTATGGAGTAAGTTGAGTTTTTTTTAAAAATGTAAACCTGTCTCAAACCTCCACTGTAAGAGAATAAACTATTTATGTGATCAGTTTGTAATTTTCCTGGGTAGAAATGGGCACATTTGCTCTGATCTTAAATTGGCCAGAAAATATTTTTTACTATAATGGCAATGGTATGGTTTCATTCCTGCCTATAATACTGTAATATCATAATACTGAGTTTTTTTCCTTTAAATACAGTTTCCTGAAATGACTTATCAGAGTCAATTCTTTTAGAATGTGCTATTTCAGCTTCTAAGACAGCCTTGTGAAATTAACCGAAGTTAAGGTTCTTGGGACACGAATGGAATAGGGCAAAGGTGATGGGATGAATCTTTTCTCAATCAATCAGTTGACACTAGAAGGGAATGCTAGCAGAGCCCTCGAATGTAACTCTTGCCACCCCTGTCCATCAAATATACATGAATTGCTGTTTTGTCTTGGAAATTTGTCACCTTTTAAAAATCTTAAAATAGAATTACTTCCAAGAACAACAATGACAACAGAGAGAATGCTGGTTGCCCTGGGGTGGTGGGGGAGAGGGGTGTCTTTGGGGAGCCAGTTCCCCAAACTGTACTGATTAGCTCCACTCCCACCCCCTCCAGGAAAGACCTGGCACCCCTTCCATTGAAACTCCTGACATTCCTTTTTGAAAATGATCATGCCACATTGGTTGATGTGTTATTTTTTCAAAAGCATAATATTAATAAACATGTACGTGCATGTGTGATTATGTAACGTGTGAAGAGCATTCCAACTAAGAAAATCGTTCTATTTTCCACCTCACTCTGTGTGTGTAGCCATGTGACAATTTCCCTGACAATCTTGTGTCAGCTTATCCACAGTTTATCGGGAGCATTTCCCATCGCCCCCACTAAGCCTCACGGTGCTGCAAAGCCTGCGAACAGGCAGGGGTCACTAAGAGATGAACGAATGCCTTCACCGCATTTCCAGGTGCTGAGAGGAGACCCGTCTCAGAGCTCGGCATTAATGGGGGAGACGGAACGAGCTCCCAATAAACTGTGGGAGAAAACCTGACAGAAGACTGTCAGGGAAATTGGCATTTTTCTTATCTGCCAAAAGTTAGTGGGGGGACAGCTAATTAGAAAGCCCCATGGACATTATTTACTCCTGCAACGTTGAGACAGTTACTGCGTTAATAAGCTCATGGGAAGAATGGTGGCGACTGGGTGTCTCCGGGAGGGAAAAGATTGTTACTGCAGAGGGATCGTCTTAATCTTCTATCTGCATTTATACGGGCCGGTTGGAATAATAAAACACCAAACACATAATTGAAAAAATGATCTTCCCATCTCTGAATCTAGACTATCATTCTAACCTCAAGCGGGGAAAGGCCAATGAGAAAGTATTTGCACTCTAGACAAATGTAGCGGAAGAAACGCTGGCAGGCAGGAAACCTGCTCTCGGAGGCACAGTTTTCTGATTGGGATGCAAGCCTCTGCTGTTGGACACTAACTTGGGCTGGGACTCGCCCCACGGGCTCTGCTGCGTCACAGGCCTTAGACTCAGGCTGGGCCTGTGCTCCCGGCTCC